CGGTTGGCCATTGATCTGGTCTATTTGATAAATCTCAGATAATTCGTGGTATTGTTATTGGTCCAGTGTGTCAACAAGGGTTCCTCTGGCTTCAGCAGATGTTTTTCAAGTTTCCTTTGTAGACTGAACTTCTGAAAAATAATCCCAAATGCCTAGAAGGATTCTTTATAAAGAAAAAAGAAAAACAGTTTAGAGCATTATCTATAAATACATTGTGTTTTTTATTTTGTGTAATTGTACATTTCATGAAATGTTGTCAGTTTCAAAGGGAAAGGGGAGAGGAGCTAACATATGTCTAGAAAAAAATGTTTCATTAAAGAATGAGGATGTATTGATGTGTCCTGGGTCTGTATCGTAAGTTCAGACAAGATCTTCGTGATCATTTTCTCCGATACCACGAGAACTTGGGGAGGAGATTAAAAAAAGGGGGGCCCGGGCTTCCCTGGTGGCGCAGTGCTTGAGAGTCCGCCTGCCGATGCAGGAGACGCGGGCTCGTGCCCCGGTCCGGGAAGATCCCACGTGCCACGGAGCGGCTGGGCCCGTGAGCCATGGCCGCTGAGCCTGCGCGTCCGGAGCCTGTGCTCCGCAAATGAGAGAGGCCACAACAGTGAGAGGCCCGCATAACGCAAGGAAAAAAAAAAAAAAAGGGGGCCCTCTCTCTGGCTTTCTGCTCTCTGGTGAGTACCCAGTGCCTGGCTCCAGAACAGAGCTCCCCGTTGGACCCAGAAAGTCATGGGCAAAGCTAAAGAGGGCTTCAAAGTTGCCCCCTTTCTTGGACCCAAACAGTCTGGAAATCTGACAACACGAACGTTGTGGCGATGGTTGCAGCTGTAACAGTGCTAGATGTGGTAGACATCTTCCGTTTGTCCCTCAGCAATTCTCTCCACCTGGTTTTGAGCCTGAGGACCACATGTGATGTCTAAAACTGAAGGTCACGGCTCCTATAAGGGGGCTTTCTCTCTGGACTCTGGCAGCCACTCCTTTCACTTGTCCCTTCAGACCTGGGGGGGAAATGACACTCTGCCCGTGTAACCCTCATACTGCATTATTCCCCAAGGGGAACCTTTATAAATAGTCCTTTTAATAAGCCCCCTTAAATATAGCTAGTTGAGTATATCACTCATTTCCTGTACGGGCCCTGGCTGATACAGGGTCCATTTCTAACACAAGGACAAGAGACGCCGTCTGATCAAGGACGGTCTTTTGACGTTGACCAGATGAAGAGACTTTAGGGTGTGTTTGGAGTTTTGTGGATCAAATCAGGGAAGGGTAATATGGCACCATGTTTTTAAAAACACTCAGTCTTAATGCAAAACTATTTAACACATGCAACTGTTTTGTGCTATACGTAGAGTGTCAAGGTTTTATGACTTTTCTGCCCTTTTGCAGTCACCAGTACCTAAAGGATGAGCCCCAGTGGTGCAGGGGTATGAATGCTTAATGTATCAGTCAGGATAAGGTAGCTTATGCCACAACAACAACAAAAAACCCTCACATGTCAGGGTCTTTACAGAAGAAAGACTTATCTCTTGTTCATATTACATGTTCACCTCTGGTGTCTGGAAGCCCTTCCACACCATCCTCAGTCAGGACTAAGCTGATGGAGCAGCTGCTACCTGGAGCCTTGCTGATTTCTGTGGCAGAGGGGAAGAGAGTGTGACAAATCATACACTGCCTCTCATGACTGCCTAGGAGTGACACATCACTTCCACTCACATGGCATTGGCCAAAACGACTTGTAACTCACGTTAAGAATGAAACGAACTAGAACTATCTGGTGGATCCCACTAATGATTCTCACGTGTGACATTCACAGATCAGGAAATGACCAGAATCCTTCTGCTCGTTTTCACATTTTACCTCATCACTACTTCCCTACTGATATTTTAGATAAAGATATTTTAAAACCAGAATACGACCACCTATTATTTGGAATGGACCAGCTTTTTAAACTGACCGGTTGTCGCCTGGCAAACTATCAGTGTGATCGGGGCTTGTACAGGTTTAAATACAAATGACTAGAGAATCGCAGGGTTGGCAGCTCCAACCTCTCACCCGGTAAGGGCATCTCTTCTATAGTTTCTAAGGTGATAATTCTCAGATCCGAAACCTTCCAGAGGAAGTGAGCCGATAACCTCGCTTCGCCCATAACCTCTGGGTGATGATGTCAAATTCCCTTTGCAGAACCATCTCGTCTCGCATCGGAGGGACCCACGTTGGGCAGACTGTCAGCCAGGCCTAGGTCCTCCTTGGGCACATGACCCAAACCAGACTGTTACCAACCAGGGTCCTTGGACTCTTTGATCAATAGAAATTGATAGGAGGCCAGATGAGAAATTCAGGCAAGACCTTACTGGGACTCCTGCTGCAGCGCCAGGGAGCGAAAACATGTTAACAAGTTCTCTTGCTCACTCCCTGACGGGGGTGGTGAGCTTGTCCCTTATAAGAGGTGAGGGTAGGGGTCAGGCCAGAAGGGTGACTTAGGTGGTCTGCCCACCCCGCTGGTGGTGCCACGTGCAGGGTGTATGCACAGTACCCTGCTTCTGCTCGGACATCTCAGAAGTGGCAGCTGGGTTTTTTGGTCTTTTTGTATCTTGTTGTTCATGATTTGCCCCAACTGCACATGCACACAGTTATTTTTAGCCCCTTATAGTTTCTTTGTATTTTGTTGCTCGAGGAGAGTTCTGTCCATGTGCAAGCACTGCAGCAAAGGGCCCCAGGTCCCAGATCCCAGTCTGTCTCAATACCAATCAGATCCTCTTCCTGGAACTGGAGTCCTGGTCAAGGGGCAAAAGGGCCAAGCTGCTTCGGAGCTGGTTTTCCCTGGGAGGATATCCTGAGAGGACTGTCTAGGAGTCCTTGCTGCTGAAGCCTCAGGAACAACCCAGAGCTGGTGTCCCTGCCCTCTCTTCTTTCTGTGAGCTCCCCTACACTCAACCAACCAATTCTCTTTCTTCTTAAATTAAAAAGAGTCTGTTTTGATGCTTATGACCAGAGAACCATGACTGACCCAGACTCTTAGGCCAGAGCACCCTCTGACTGGAGGTCTTAGCAATTCTTCTAAAGAGGTAACGTGTCCATCAGAGGGAGAGTTGGTGATCAGTGGATGCATAGCAAACAAAAAGAGTCCAAAAGGACCTTGCTGGCCTTGCCCATCCACAGACAGCCTAGTCAGAGGGAACAGGGGCCATCAACTCAAGTGCCTTGGTCCAGCTCTCTGGCCCAAGCAAAGTTAGAAGCATAATTTGTACCAGTTGTGCTGATTTAAATAGTCCAGTCATTGAAAACTGTATTTTCTCCACTTTATAGATTCAGGCGGAGGCTGGAAGAAGTTACTTCACTTGCCTAAGACCTCACACGGTCCAGAAGGGCAGCCAGGCTTTCCACACAGGCCTCTCTGAACTGTGCTGTCTCCCCAACGTCCAGGCACCTGTGGATTCAGTTTAGCCATCACTGTGGCGTCTTGGGGACTGGAAGCCCCATGAGGCAGAGGCCACGTAGGTCTCATTCAGCACAGCATCCCAGTGCCTGGATCCCCACACCCCGTTTTCCAGTATCACCTGCCTAAGCAGATGGTGCCTCCACGCTTGTTAGTCAAGCCCCAAACCCAGGAGTCGGCTTCATTCTGATCTTCCCATCCCCTTCTCTCCCCTCCTCTGCCCCACATTTCTTCCATCGTCAAGTCTCACTGCCTTTATCCCCACAATAAGCCTCAAACCCATTGACTCCTCTCCATCTCCACTGTCTTCATCCCAGGGCAGCCAGCATCACCACTCACTTGGACTCTGCTAACCAGTCTCCAGGTTAACACTTGTGTCCCCTATAATCCAGGCTCCACAGAGGAGCCAGGTAATATTGTCAACATCAGTTAGATCGTCCCCTCTTCCTCTCAAAAGCCCTGAAAGTGTTCCCATTGCTCTACGATGGAAATCTTACCGTGCCCTGCCTGCTCACATCTGTCTTTAACCTCTTCCAGCTCCCTCCCTGCAGGTACACTGGCCTCCCTCTGGTCCCAGCACACGAAGCCTGCTTCATCCCCGGGACTTTGCATTTCCTGTTCCTTCCCTGGGACCCTCTTCTCATCTTTCACGTGCATCTTCAATGTCAGCTCTCAGAGACAGTCTAAAGCAACCGCTTCCTGGTCACTCCAGTCGCTCTTCCCTGACACCCCGCTTGCTCCTCCACAGTGGTTTTTGCTGTTTTGTTCAGATTGTTGTCCGTCTGCCTCACTGGAACATACATTCCCTAAGAGTTCGGGCCTCATTTGTCTTTATCACCAAGCCCGGGACAGTGCCCAGAATAATACGTGACATAGAGAAGTTGTCAAAAAGATTTGTTTAGTAAATTAATGAATGCACTCATTGAAATGACCAAATGATTGGTTTTGTTTCGTGGACATGAGACTCCAACTCCTTCATTGTTGTAAAGCAGCAAACGCCTAACAAAGAACTCATAAGAATTATAAGGCAGCCCACATTCATGGCTTCCTCCAGCTCTGTGAGGCTCCCCATCAAAATGTGAGAACAGAAAGGGGGTGAAGCTAACTCACCGCCACGCGGCTCATTGCCTGAGGCGTGTGCTCACTGAGGCAGCTACAGCCTCCGACACAGAGCGGGCTCCAGCCCCCATCTCCCAGGCCCCTACATCGATGCTGGTGATGTGTTGACTCCATCATTGCCAGGACGGGGATCACGCCACTGCCTGGCAGCTGGAGGTGGAGTGGCCCGCCTCCCTCAGCCTCTGTAAGCCATTGTTTCTAAATAGATGTTGGTGCAGGAGTCGCCAAGCTCTCAGGCCAGCTCTGGGTTCTTTGCTGAGATGGAGGTGTAACCAAGGAAGGGGCTTGAAAAGTAAAAAGGACAGAAAATGAAGACAATGAAGGTAGATGACCTGGCCCTTACACAGTGGCCCTGAAGCAGGAGACCATCTTCCCCAGGGGTCGGGCCAAAGGCTGGGCTCCTCCCCTGGCCATAAATGGCTTGGCCAGAGCTCTGTGGGAGCCACCTCTTCTCCTGTCACCCTTGCTCTCCCAGCTGGATGTTCCTACAAATGCAAGACACAAGCCAATAACACCGGCAAGAAAGGAGCTTGCTGAGGGCAGTGTTTGGAGAAAGCTCTCAGGAGGCTGTCGGAAATGGTGAGTGCGAGTTAGCGTCTTTCCTCTGCCTAACCCTCATTTCTCTCTATAAAAAACAATCCCCAGACTTTTAGATTTCACATCTCCTAATTCAAATATAACTGTACCCTTGGGGCAAGAAGTTAAGGAGCTTGGCTTTTCGTTCTTTTCCAATGTACAATCATTTAAAAACATTCTATCTAGTATTTGCTGATTCCATCTTATATTTTAATATTAAGGTTTTGCTTTTAAAACCCCACATACAAGGGTGCAAAGTAAATGTTTCAGCTAATTTCAGTTCCCAGTTGAAGCAATGGGTCCGACCCAGATGCCTTTATCCTTATTTGTTCAGTCTGCCTTCTGCTGCGTGATCAGCAACAGGGAGAGTTGTAAGTTGCATCGGAAACCTTCCACCTTCCTTATTGACTTGATACACATGTGCTTATGACTCAGTCAAATGAAGCTTGGTAAGTTAGAAGAGGCTTCTGTGATTCCTTTTTAAAGAGATTATTAAAAGGAGTTGACATCTAGGAGTAAAGTCTGTTGGAAGCATGCACACGTGAACAGATGTAGGATGGGAGGGGTGAGTGACAGGAGGACTGAAGGGCTGCAGGCCCAGGTTAGAGCCCTGACCTCTCCCACCTCTGGGCCTCAGGGGGTGGGGAGGGGCCCTGCCTGCTGGCACCACATTGGAAGAGCTCTCCTGATCCAGAACCCGCATTTCTATCTACTAGGAGCTGGGGGAGTAGCCAGAGGAGAGACTTAGGGGTCAGAATTCAACAGTCAGGACCCAGTTCCTGAGAAAAGGGCGGTTCAGGGAGGGTTCAGAAGGTTAGGAAGAAGGCTGTCCTCTAAAGAAGACGCCCTCTGCATTCTTGTTTCTTGAAAATCTTTTTTTTTTTCCCAATAAATTTATTTTATTTTTTTAATTTATTTTTGGTTGCATTGGGTCTTTGTTGTTGCATGTGGGCTTTCCCTAGTTGCAGCGAGCGGGGACTACTCTTCCTTGCGGTGCATGGGCTTCTCATTGTGGTGGCTTCTCTTGTTGCAGAGCATGGGCTCTAGGCACGCCGGCTCAGTAGTTGTGGCGCATGGGCTTTGCTGCTCCGCGGCACGTGGGCTCTTCCCGGACCAGGGCTCGAGCCCGTGTCCCCTGCATTGGCAGGCAGATTCTTAACCGCTGCACCACCAGGGAAGCCCTCTTGAAAGTCTTTTAACAAGATGTTAAAACTTAAAAAAAGGAAAAAAAAAAAGGAGTTGAACTCAGGCTTTGGAGTTGGGAAGATCTGTGATCTAGCCTCTCCCACTTACCAGTGGGGGACCTTGAGAAAACTGTCCTGGTCTCAGTCACCTCACCCATGATGTAGAGATGAGAGTGCCCCCCTTGTGGGGAGGTTATGAGTGCAGCGTGTGACCACTCACTCATAACAGTGAGTGGTGGTTATCCCATCTCCGCTCCTTCCCATCACAAACAGCAGACTCATAATGAGTGACACTCAGCCACTGAGATCCTGCTGTACCTTCAGAACCATTATGCAGATATCACCTAGTGCTTAGACTAGCAATGAGTGCCTTGTACCAAATGCCAGTACTTTGAATATTGCTAATCCAGGTAGACAATTCCATCCAACAAGATCTTCCCAGGGGCTTCTCTGTGCCTCGCTCTGTGCTGACTAGGCCATGAAGAATATGACACCACGTGATCTTCCACCTGGAGTATTTTATAGTTTCAAAAGAGCTGCCACAGACATTATTTCCTTTGGGCTTAGTTAATAGTATCCCTGTTTTGAGGATGGAAAAACTGTGCCTGGTAAAATAGATTTGTTGTGAGGAAATGGAGACCAGAGAGTTTGATTCACTTTCCCCAGGCCACACAGCTACTAAGTGGCTGAGTCTGGACTCAAATCCAGGCTCCAAGCCCAGGGTTGCCTTGCCCCACCCAGCTGCCTCTCTAAAGGACACTGCGTGAGATTCTTCTCCACCCACATTTACGTGATGTTTTTCTTTCCATGAGAGCACTGTAGTGTGTTTCTACAAAATATAAATGTCTTTCTGAAATTAGCCAAAACCTTCGTCATCCAAATGTTGATAAACAGCACGTGCAATGGCCCACTTGTTGCCGCTCCTCCCTTCTGCTGTCCCCCCAAAGGAAGCTTTGTCCTGGGCCTGCTGACATCAGTACCCAGTGCTCACTGATGAGATAAGGCTCTGGGCAGCTGCGTTTGATGCAGAGACCATCCAGTGTCCTGTGCAGGCTCAGCTGGCATTACCATGAAAGGTAGTGGTTAGGTTCCTTGAGCAGGAAGACCCTGACCTGAGGTGGCCCAGATGTCCCTCTTGTCCTAATACTGTCCTGGAAGAGGAGGTGCAGAATAATTGGGGGCTCCAGTTATTCTGCAGAAACTCTAGAAGTCCTGAGGAAGCCTGTAATGTAGTAGAAAGAGGCTGTCACCAAAAGACCCAGTCGTGTGAATTTGGGCAACTTGTTCAAATTCTTCATCGATTTTCTTTTCTATAAAGTGAGGCCTCCCTGTTGCTAAGAGACAGAGAAGTGAAGAGTCGCCACTGAAGCGTGCTGGCTGGCTGGGGACATCCTAACTGAAAGACATAATCTCTGGGGCAGGGGGTAGGGGGAACCATACCTTGTAGGTGCTTGGAACATTTTTAGTTCACAAAGGAATTTCTCATTCATTAACCTCTCTGAATTCCAACCTTCCAGAAAGCTAGCTAAAACAGGTGTCTCATCAATTTTGCATATATTGGGACTACTGCCTCTAGAACCATCTTCCAGGTTGGATTTGAGTCACATGGACCAATCCCACTTGGCCTGTTTTAAGAGATAAGCTCCAACTGTTCTCACTTATCTGTGAGGTAATTTCTGAGGAGTCCCTGTGCCTCAGCTTCCTCTTCTGTAAAATTAGAGTTCTGCCCTCTTGCACTGTTGGTGGGAATGTAAATTGATACAACCACTATGGAAAGCAGTATGGAGATTCCTTAAAAAACTAAAAATAGACCTGCCATATGACCCAGCAATCCCACTACTGGGCATATACCCTGAGAAAACCATTATTCAAAGAGAAACATGTACCAAAATGTTGAATGCAGCTCTATTTACAATAGCCAGGACATGGAAGCAACCTAAGTGTTCATCGACAGATGAATGGATAAAGAAGATGTGACACATATATACAATGGAATGTTACTCAGCCATAAAAAGGAATGAAACTGAATTATTTGTAGTGAGGTGGATGGACCTAGAGACTGTCATACAGAGTGAAGTAAGTCAAAAAGAGAAAAATACCGTATGCTAACGCATATATATGGAATCTAGAAAAATGGTACTGATGAACCTAGTGGCAGGGCAGGAATAAAGACGCAGATGTAGAGAACGGACTTGAGGACACGACGAGGGAGGGGAGGCTGGGATGTAGTGAGTGAGTAGCATTGACATATTACACTACCAAATGTAAAATAGATATCTAGTGGGAAGCTGCTGCATAGCACAGGGAGATCAGCTCGGTGCTTTGTGACCACCTAGAGGGGTGGGATAGGGAGGGTGGGAGGGAGACGCAAGAGGCAGGGGATATGGGGATATATGGATACGTATAGCTGATTCACTTTGTTGTACAGTAGCAACTAACACAACGTTGTAAAGCAGTTATACTCTGATAAAGATGTATTTAAAAAAATGAGAGTTCTGAGGTGGATGATCCTGAAGGCACCTCAGGTCTGAAATGTTAGGATCCTCTTGGATTCTCTAATCCTTCCCAATCTTCCCATTGTTGGCTGCCATTTAATTTTAAAACTTAGCAAACACATTGCTTCTAGAACGACAGAACCAGGTCTTGGGAGGCTTCAGGAAGATCTGGAGCTGGAGTTTAAGCCAAGCTGTGGGGAACCAGGGAGGCTGGGGCTGAATGAGAGCCCAGCCAGGAGGCAGGAATCAGGAGTGGTGGACACGAGCGGGGGGCGGGGCAGGGGTCCGGAAAGTAGAAACATGGCTTCAGCTCCCCGAACAAGGGACAGAAAGCGTCGCCAGCTGAGTTGGAGCAAAGTCCACCCATTTTTCACATCCAGGCAGAGAAGGGACTGGGTAAAGAGCAGCCTGGAAAAACTGGCATCAAAGAACCCAAACTGGAGTGACAGGACGTGGGGACAGGGAGGAGGAAGGAGCCACTGGAGGCCCTGGGCAGGGTCTGACCCGGTAGGTGGGCACGTGGGCAGGCTAACATGTTGGTGCCCCACTGAGCTGACAATCTTTAAATATTGATGCCATATTTGGGGGAGAGGTAAGGCTGGGTGCTGAGTGAGGGGAGGGCACAGAGGGTTAGCATCTCTTCTGTCGTTCTGACCAGCTCAGCTCCAGCCTGGAGCCCCTGCCTCGGACTCTGCAAAAACAGAAGCTTGTCTTCCTCAGCTTCTCCTCCTGGGAGGGGGTTGAAGGAGCAGGTGGGTTGTGTTTTTTTTGCCGTACGCGGGCCTCTCACTGTTGTGGCCTCTCCCGTTGCGGAGCACAGGCTCCGGACGCGCAGGCTCAGCGGCCATGGCTCACGGGCCCAGCCGCTCCGCGGCATGTGGGATCCTCCCGGATCGGGGCACGCACCCGCGTCCCCTGCATCGGCAGGCGGACTCTCAACCACTGTGCCACCAGGGAAGCCCGGAGCAGGTGTTCTTGTTGGAACCCCTGGGGGGTCTTACTTCCCACCCCAAGAAGAAAGCGCCATCACTTTACACAGTTTCCTCCCTGAAAGGAGTTCCGGGGGAAAAAACAATTTTTAGCTGCTGAATTTCTAGTAATGTTTCTGCTGCCCTTTTGGATCAGGACTGCTCAGGCAATACCTTCACTGGTTGGTCCCTTAATCTGGCCCTGGTTGAGGACATGGAAAAGGAGAGAGGCCAAGACTGCCTTGCTGAGGGAGGAACTCATGACCTCAGGCTCCGCTGCTCCCCTGCCGTCTTTGGGGGCCAAGACTGGGAGGAGAGGCTGGGACTGACTGGGCCTGTGGGTCGCTAAACTCTCCCGGAATCCGCCAGGGCCAGTGACATTTGGTGGAGGGGTGAGGAGCCTGGCTGACCATTCCTGGGAGCTTTAATGTTTCCTTCTCTCTTCCAGAGTTTTTCACTGAACTTCACACTGCCGGCCAACACAGTGAGTACAGCAGTCCCCGCTCACCAGGCAGGTCAGCAGAGATCAATGCAGAGTTGACACTGGGCCTCCAGGATGCCGTCACACAAAGCTCATGTGGAGCAACAAGTTACACAGGTTCCAAAGGCATTACGAAGAGCTGGGGGTGCTGAGAGAAATGTTTTCGATTATAAGAATTATAAATACACATTTTGAAAAGGAAAATAGCAAAAAACCAAAACAGCTAAATTGCCATCAGCAGAAAACACTGGGGACACGAATTCCAGTCCTGTCTGACTCTACATAAATTTTGACTTTTGTTGCTTTTGTACCATGGTCTTCTTATTCTACCCATAATTTTATATGATAAATGTTTTCCATCCACCTTTATAACCGTACTGAGGGTGGTCACATGATATTTCTTCAAGTGAATTATTTCTTTAAGTGATTAATCACTATTAGGAATGATTTTGTGATAGATGTAGGTATAGATAAATCCTTGTCAGCACTTAAGCTGATTTCCTTAGAATGTAGCCTAGAAGGGGAATTATTGGGTCAAGAAGAATGAATGTTTTATGGCTCTGGATTGTGACATTTAGTTGCAAGTCCACATGGAGATTTGCAGTTGATGATGGTGGACCGTTTCAATCCAGAATTGATCCTCCATCTTCTGTTCTCGTGCTGTGTAGAGATAACACGCCAGGATTGTTTTCTGAGCAGAAGTGCTGCTGTGATGGAGCCAGGGGTTTCCCTGGCCCAGTTTTTCAGTGGTTTTGGCTGTGCCAAAATTTTCTGAAAAGTCATATGGTTATTCAAAGAGAATAAAATGAATCGCCAGGAAAGAGGCTGCTTAAGCCCGTGCTCATGTTTACTGTACCATGGGGGCGTCATTCTGGAGAGCAGCAGAAAGGTAGAACCTCGAGACTCACTGCCGGCCTTCTGCTGCCACTGGCGGCCCTGACATCTGTCCGTGACTCCCTGGCACCTGCTCTACCCTCCCGGGGCGGCCCTGCCTTCGGAACCTCCCTGACTTAACTCTGCTCCCTGCTTCTGCCTCTGCCTGTTGTCTGCAGACAAATTCCCCTATCCCTCTCTTTACCTGTCAAAACCTTTGAATATGGCCACTGCTGGCATTTTCCCCCTGGCTGCTCAAAGCCAGCAGGTCCATAGAGACCCCGGGTTCTGTCTTATCCTGGCTTGGCCCAGCCTACGAAGGTAACTCAGAGAAGCAAGAATCCGTTGCTTGGGGCCGTGAGGGTGAATGGGTTGAGAGGCAGGCCCTTACACTGTTAGTCATCACTTTGGGAGCATCTCCTTGGTTCATAGCACGCTTCTCTGAGAACTGTCCCTCCTCCCTTTGAACCTATGTAGGACAACAGCCACCCCAGCCTGCCTGGGACTGTCTGGTTTTAGCACTGAATGTGCTACCACCTAGGCAATTTCTGTGGAAAACCAGGACGGCTGGCCACCCTACCTGGCAGTTGTATTTCTACCATAGAACCCTTACGTTTTGGTGCAGCTGGATGACTGGGAATACCAGAGCCCTGGGAAGTAGGG